AAAAGAATCACTTTCTGTTTATTCCTTTTGGTGATAAAACTGCATTAGAAAAAACCTTTAATGTTGTTAGAGCAAAACTAGGAAAATGTAAAGTGATCCCTAATCTTAATATATATATTGAGCTTCTTGAAACCGAAAATATATCCAATACTGTTATCTCTCCTCCAGATTTAAACTTTGCTAAAGAAAAATAAAATTTTACAAAATTTACAATTAGCAGACTGTTGTAGAAAAAGTGACAAAATTGATATTCTCATAGGGGTAGATTTCTACTATTCTATAATTACTGGTAAAATTAAAAGAATTTAAGAAATGTAGTAGCCACAGAATCTTATTTGGGTGGTGTTTGCAGGGTAAAGTAAATAATGATCATAGTGAATTATTAACTATGAAAGTAATTGTAAATGAAAACTTGATATCAGATCAGTTACAACAGTTTTGGAAGCTAGAAAACTGGGTTTGGAAGTGATACTCAAACGACAAAACTGTTGATTTAGAAATTATGAAATCTTTCGAATCTGATATCAGGTATAAGAAACTGCAGATACCAAGTAAAATTACCTTGGAAACCGAATTCAAAACATTTAATGGAAGGTAATAGGGATATAGCACTTGAAAGATTTAAGAAATTGAGTAACAAATTTAAAATTGATAACTCTTTGTTTGTTCAATACACAGAGGTTTTAAAGGATTACGAGTTAAAACATATTATTGAACCAGTTCAAGAAAGACAATCAAAATGATAAAACCCTATTTATTTACCTCATAGAGCAGTCATCAGAAATGATAGAGCAACAAGCAAACTAAGAATAGTTTATGATGCTTCAGCCCATAAACCAAAAAACTCTCTCTAAATGACTGTTTATACACTGGTCCGAACCTATATCCTGATATTTTTGATTTATTGATAAAATTTAGACAAAATTCGATAGCCTTTACAGCGGACATTACACAAGCATTCTTACAGATAGAGTTAAATGAAGAAGACAGGGACATTACACGATTCGTTTGGAAAGATGATCCTAATGATAACAATGAGAGTTTGAAAATCTTTAGATTTACAAGAGTTTTGTTTGGAGTAAAATCTAGTCCCTTTCTTCTCGCTGCTACTATTAAGCATCACCTTAAAAAATATTCAGAAATATATCCTGAAACAGTAGAACTCTTGAACAACTGCCTGTATGTTGATAACATTATTGGTGGTCAACAAAATTTAGAACAAGCCCTGAAAACAAATTTCGAAATTGTGGATATTTTTAATGAAGCTAGCATGTCACTACATAAGCGGCATACTAATTCCAAAGAACTCAAAGATATTTGGCATCGCAAAGAATTTTCAATGCAAGAATCTCCTGAAGTTGTCCCGATCAAAGTGTTAGGAATTAACCGGGATACGAATAATGATAATTTTTATTTTGACACTCAGCACTTGACAAATTTCATTTCCTCGTCAATCAACTCAAAACGTTTTCTATTGTAAAACGCACGCCATATTTTTTATCCTGTTGTATTTTATGATTCTTTCACTGTAAGAATAAAATAAAGTGTCTGATTCAGGAAATTTGGTCTGCCAAAATTGATTGGGACGATGAACTTCCACCTGATCTTAGTTATAAATGGAAAGCCTGGTACGAAGAAATTGAAGAACTGAACCACCTCAGAATTCCCCGCTACTATTTAGAAGGAATATTAGATGCAGATGTGAAAAAATAGAAAACTCCATAGCTTTCTGATGCTAGTTTGAAAGCTTATGGATGCGTGGTATATCTGAGAATAGTTTTGAACAATGGAACTTTTCAAACAGTTTTTGTTGCTTCCAAGAGTAGAGTTGCACCTCTGAAATCCCTTACACTTCCTAGATTGGAGCTTTTGGGTGCGCTTTTATCCGCTAGATTGAGTGATAAAATAGCAAAATCTTTAAAATACGAAGTAATCCTCTTCCACTGGACTGATTCTCAAATAACGTATTTTTGGATTCAGGGATCTCCCGAAAGATTTAAATCTTTCATCAAAAACAGAGTTTATGAAATTCAGAAACTAACTGAAAGCAATAATTGGCATTATTGCCGTGGGAAAGATAACCCCTCCGACAATCATATCATGAGGAACTACTGTTGCTAATTTAAGAAATTGTTCACTTTGGTGGTTTGGACCAGAATGGTTGCAAAACAAACGTATAGACTGGCCAGTTCAACCGAAGTTTGACGTGGGAAACGACAAGCAACTAGAACTCCGTAGTAAGATATCTGTTTATGACGTTGTTGTGAAAAGAGATGATCAACTATTGGATATAACAAAATTCAGTAATGTGCTGAAATATCTCAGAATTATGGCATGGGTTAGACGTTTCGTTGCTAAGGCAAGAAAAACTGCCTGCTAATAGTGGAACATTAAGTGCTTCTGAAATTCAGGACACTGAAATTTTTGTGTTCGTAAAGCCCAGATGGATTTCTTCACACCTGAAATTAAGGCTCTTCAATCTAACAAGTCAATTTCTCCAAGCTCTGATATATTCAGCTTCGCACCGTTTCTTGATGAAAATAAAATTCTTCGAATTAAGGGAAGATTAAAAGAAACCGAATATACAGTTGACGAGAAGCATCCAGTTCTTCTTCCTAAAGATTCCAAATTTACTGAATTAATTGTAAAAAGGGAACATAATAACGTTCTGCATGCGGGAGTTGCAGCAACTTTAGCCAAACTAAGACAGAAATTTTGGATTCCTAAAGGCCGTCAGTTGGTAAAGTCGTAGGGAACTTTAATTTGTCGGAAATACGCAGTAAAACCAGCGAAACAAATGACAGCTCAGTTACCTAAAGATCGAATTGTTGAAACTCCACCTTTCTATGTTACATGCGTGGATTTCACAGGTCCAGTTTACATCAGGTCTGGAAACGACATTCAGAAATCATACATCGTATGTTTACGTGCGCTGTTACACGAGCGTTACATCTAGAACTCATTTCCAACATGTCTGCAAACAAATTCATTTTGGGCTCTCAGACGTTTCATTTCGAGAAGAGGAAACTGTCGCACCTTCTATTCAGATAACGCGAAAACTTTCAAATATGCTTTGCCAAAGATTTACAGTATTTTTACAGCATAATTAAAGACAGCAGTTTTTCAAAATTTTCTAGCAAATGAAGGTTTGACTTGGAAATTTATCGTCGAAGCTTGCTCCATGGTGGGGAGCTTTTTATGAACGCCTTATGAAAACCACAAAGGAACCGTTTGAAAAAGATATTAGGTAAGAGCTCAACTGAATTTTGAAAGAATTTATGACTGTGCTGACAGAGGTTCGAAAATATTGTGAATAGACGTCCTTTGACCTACGTTTACAACGATTTACATGAACCTGAACCGCTTGCACCGGCTGATTTTCTATTGATCGGACATAAAGGATGAATATCCATACAACTTTGCTGAGATCCTGAATAACTCTCCAACAAGAAAGAGTCTAATAAAACGAAAAGAATATCAGACAACACTTATAAAACAGTTCTGGAAAAAAATGGAAAAATCAGTATCTTCTTGAGTTAAGAAATGCTCACTTCTTTGGTACACCAGAAGCCAAGAAAAATCTTAAAATTGGTGATATAGTTTTACTTGAAGGAACAACTAAATCTAAGTTCTTCCTGGGATTTAGGTCGAGTAATTGAAGTCTTTCAAAGGACGTGATGGTCTTGTACGATCATGTGTGGTAAAAGCTAAAAATGGGGACTTTAAGAGACCTGTGCAATTGATATACCCCCTTGAACTATCAGATTGAAAATGAACTCATTTTGTAACCTTTTAATTTTATTTCTTATATTTCATGTTCACTAACGTTTATTTCAGATAATTAGTTTAGTTATTACTAATAATTTACTGTTTGTAATTTCGAAATTAATATTTACGTATTGAGTAACATTTGAGTTGATTGATACAGTTAACTATATTTGTTTATTTTATAGAATTTCCCTTTTGCAGTTTATATTTACATCAGTTGAATGTATTTGATATGTAAGTTGCTTTCTTATATTTTATTTTGTATGCTGAAATAGTGATAATTTTTGCAAAAATTATCAGGTGGGGAGTGTGGAAAAATCCCCCAAATGATTTATATATCGCCGTTAGAGGGCGCTTCGCTTCTGAAAAGGAATGTTAGTTTTTAGTTTGCGACGTAGTTAGTTAGCAGTGAACCTTCGATGCAACGAAAGTTGCTTTGTAAATAAAATGATTATTTTTGTAGATTGTTGAAATATTTCACTTCATTTAGAATTAGAACCACCTTTCGCAATATATGTTCTTGTAAACATATGTTCTTGTATACTGTGTGTGTAAGTGATAATGTTGAGCCACTATCAAATAGTGGCTATTTATACCAACAAACAATACAGCTATTTCTTCACATTTCATCTTGATTTGTTTAGAAAGTAAGTAGAGATATAAAACAAATGAAAGCTATGTTTCCTTAAGTAGTGTAGGAATAGCTTTCATTTTCCGTTTGAATTATCATTATGTTACAAAACTATGGAGTTTAAGTTGATATTCAACTCCAGGTGCTGTCTTAGTAGAAACTTACATCTTAATGGATCAAATAATACAGATCTGTGAAATGTAAAAATAACATGCATTTGCATTTTTGGTCTTTGCATGGTCTAGAACACAGATTGAAATGCACTTTGTTACCTAATTTGATGTAATTAAATATTATACTTTTTTTTCAAATTTAACTATTACTTAGTTTAATTACAGTCTTTATGGAACACTTACCTAAGCATATTTAATTTTTTTCCTCAGAAAAACTGTTTTTTGGCAGAAATAAATTCCAGTAATTAGTTTATTGTGGTTTTATATAATCAAGGATTGTTTTACATCGTGTACGGCAATAAAATGTCATTTTGGGTATTATTTGCATTTGCAGACATTTACAACTCTGTTAAGTAATTGTGTACGTTTCTGGCACTGATTGTTTTATGAATATGTTGTTTTCAGTGAAAAAAAAAAACTTATGCGACTAGCTTTTTTTTTATTTTTTAAGAAATAACAACCAACGGGCTTATAACAGCTTTATGCTTTTGGGAGAAACACACATTCACGCCATAATCGAAATAAACTGGGAATCAATTACATATGTGATGTGGAACATATACGAAGTGATGCAGTTCATTGAAGAGAAATGCCATGATTTCCAGAAAAATCATTAGAAATTATACTCACATATGTCAGTTATATAATGTACTTATACATTTGTGCCATACAAATAGACATGTAGCATAAACTCGGCTATATATATATATATATATATATATATTAGTAATTTATTATATTTATCATATATATATTAAACGTTTATTTACAAATTACAAAGGGTATCGCGCAGGAAATTGGGGAACTTATCGCAAATTGCCTTACGTTTCTCTTTTTAGAGCAAATATAAAAATGAAGATAAACATAATTGTATATATTGGATGAATAATTTATAATTCATGCTGAATAAATCATGAAAAATCTGAAGTTGCAATTAGCGATAAGTTCTAACTTACATATTCCTAATAAACTAATTTAGCGGTAGAAACTTTCATTCAGGTATGGAAAACAGGACATATATAAATTCAAGTTCTTCAATGAGCAATATATTCATCTTTTTTTTCTTTTTGTCAGTTCTTGGGAAACAATAGTGAATGAAGATGAATATAAATTATATAAAAATCATTAGAATTTAATATAAAATTTAACGTTTATTGTCTCTTCCACATCAAAACTAAATTAATAAACATGACGGAATGGAGGAATAGTATTCAAGTATTAAGATGATAACTTGATAATTCATTGGTTTAAAAATACTCAAAACAACAAAACATTTGTGATATATATGTAAAGTAAAATAATTATTAATAATTTCTTTTTACATGAAACATATTTTGTACAACAATGAACAAACGGCACCAATGTATTTTTTGTGCAGCATGGTTGAAACCTGAAGATTGAACATTAGCTTTCTATAAAATAGCTACATCATCTATATTGGTTGCTATAGTAAATAGCTGCCGGTGAATACTTGTAAAATATTTTCCCGTCTTCTCTAAATATTAATATCTTTCATTTTAAATTTGTGCACATTAACCAAACACTTTATTTGTGCACATTAACCAAACACTTTATTTAAATTCAATTACAAGCACTCTTCCTCAGTATGTTCACTAGAAAGGAAGACGTTTATGACACATTTGTAACAAAAGCTCGCGCATAAAGAAAGCGTATGCACATGGAAATTCAGTTACACAATAAGTTCCACTGTTGTTAAGAATTGGATGTCAGTCTGAAAACGAAATGCATTCTGACATGCTAAAAAATGAATTTAAACCATTTAGTCAAATATATCTTTATGGTTGTAAACATAGTAATGTGGTTTCTCTCCCATGATTCATGCTCAAGTTTTAATTTTCTTCATAAAAGCTCATTTTAAAAAATTTTAGAAACGTAATATATTACATCTATTCATTTAGATGTATTGTTCTTTAATAACAAACAGAGATGCGACTGACTCGCATCATGAATGTTTTCATTAATGTGGATAAGATAAACTTTGTCAATAGAAACATTGATTTCACTTTTTATAAAAGAAAGCTCCTATTTCACACACTAGGATGCTTTGGGACATCGAAATGTTATGTTACAGTTGATACATTTATTTTACAATACTAACATCTTCTGGTAATTTCCATTCACGGCCTTAAGATGCATCTCATTCTAGTGAAAAAAAACCATCATAATTGTTGCACTATTTATTATGTTTGATTCGCCATTTAAAAAGTTCACACAAAATATTCCTCTCCGCAGAAAATGGGAAATAGCCACATGTTCTATTCGTTTCTGTAAATTTCTTATTTATTTGTCATCGGTTAGAATAATCGTACCCGTACTAGAAACAAACATAGATTATTAGAGATCACTGCTTTCTTCTATAATCCATTCAGTAAATGCCTTAGTCTAAAATGTCTGTCTCATATTCTCGTTCATCTCCCAGGCCTTCGTCTGGCGAATCTCTTGCATCAGGTGAAAAAACATGATGGATTTGTTGAGGGATTATGACTGAATTCCTTTTCCAACTGGATTGCGAAGGGCTACTATAACTATGGTAACTCTCATCTTTAAAGGAACCTTCAGATAATGGCCAAATTGAACACTTATGAGGCGGTAAATTGTGATCGAGATAATAATCATTAACTGGCTGGTTGATTTCGTATACCATTGGTCCAGTGCTATCTACGTCATCCTCTTCATCATCATTAGTTATTGGTCGACGATATTCTGTCCTTTCGTAGCTCTCTGGGTCCTCTTTGACAGAGTTATAGGATTTTTCATCGGTATTCTTACTTTCATTAGGTGGTATGACGCACATCTCTATACCTCTCTCAGTTTCACGAATAGAATGTCTATTTAACGAATGAGAATACCACTTTTCAGCAGTCGGAGACGTCGCATTGTGGGCACTAATATTTTCATGCAAACTATATTGTTCTAGAGGTACTAAACTATTCATTTTAGTTCCTCCGTAGGCACTAGTTTCAGATCCACTACCAGGAGAAAGTGAGGCGGCATTACATTTGCCATCCATGACGTTTCCACTGTTAGCAGGAATACTTATATCCACATCAGTCGTATTTTTTACCACGGCTCCAACGTGATTGTTATTGAAGGAGAAAAAATGTTTATATATTGTAAATCCCCCACCTTTACTTCGATTTGGAAAAAGCCTTTGGTGTCGGAGCATAAAGAAGCTAAATACAAAAAATAAAGCAAATATCACAAACAGGACTCCAATAACTATTCCAGCAATTTCTTCCCCACTTAGAGCATCGTTATCACCTTCTTTTGGTACTACATTAAGAGTGATGTTAGCTGATATTCTACCAGCTGGATTTGATGCTACGCATAAGTAACGGCCACTGTCTTTGAGCATAACATTAAAAATTGTCAAAGAATTGACTTTGAGAGTTGTTCCCACTTCTCTGATCAGATACATTTGTCTTCCGAAAGACATAAGAGTCAAATTATTAATAACTCTTCCCCGCCATATCCAGTTTACACTGCCTTCTGGTACAGCATGCACACGGCAGCCTAGAGTTGCATTCTCACCTTCCGTAAAAGTGACAACAGGCTCCACTACGGTGACTTCCGGTTTACATGCAAAATCATCGATACCGACTGTATCCCAGCTTAAACCACGTAGTCGCTGAGGTTCAAAACATTGCGGTGGGCTGCTGATGGGAATATTATTGCGTAACATCCATTTTCGAACACTCCTTATATGGCAATCACAGTGCCATGGGTTCTGATGGAGATCTAAACCGTATAAGGAAGAAAAGGGTTCTCCCATTTCCGGAGGTAACGTCCTTAATTTATTTCCATCCAGTTTGAGGTATTGCAAGCTCTTTAAACCATCAAATGCACGTGGTTCAACAACTTCAATTTGACAGTTACTTAGTTCTAAAGTTGTCAAATGGGAAAGCAAAATGAAAGTGTCATTCTCAACCCGCTGAATCGGATTAGAGCTTAGTAGTAAACGACGAAGTAAAGGTGTGTCTCTTAGAGCGATCGCTGGAATCGATGTAATGAAATTGTTACTCAAGTCTAATTCTACAAGATTACTCAGCTGATAGAAAGCATCATTTGCTATACTCAAAATGCCACATCTAGAAGCAAATACTTTCTGAAGATTCACGAGTCCAACTCTAAAGAATGCTCGGAAAGGTAGTAACTGAAGGAGATTTCCACTAAGATCTAATACTTGAGTTTCTCCTCTTAAGCCGTCAGGTATTGCAACCAAATTGACACCTACACATTCGGCTGTTTCTTTTCCGTTCTTCCATTTGCAAGTGCATTCACTAGGGCAAGCATAGCTCATGGACGAACCAGGTATTACGCATAGTGAATGAAGAGCAACATAGAATATGTAAGAGGCTACGACGCTGTGGACTTTAGACATTGTATAATGAAATTTTGTTTCTGAAGTTCTCTACACCAGGTGCAGTCAACTGTGTAGGCGTAGACAACCTCGTAATCTGCAGAGCTGTTGATGCAAGTACTGCTGCATTTATTTTCAGAAGCTTTGAAACATCAAATTTCGTTCAGAACTCCATCGTTTGCCATCAGTATCAGTATTATTGCCAAGATGCCAAACCTGAAAGAGGAAAACATTAAAAATGGTGTTTACGAAACTCATAAGCAATATTATTCAACTTCATCAGCAATACAATATTGTAAATCACACATGCGGAAACTACATAAAATATTCCTAATCATGTTTATATAATTTATGCTCAAAGAATAACAAATAATAGTTTTGTAATTTTTACAGGCAAGTTAACGATTTACTAAAGCAACATGGTTAAACATTTATTCGTGTCAATATAAACCAAATAGCATTTTAAATATAATCATTTGGCAGAACTAAGGATCTGGAAATATACAGGGTGCCGCAGCGTTCATAGCGTAATTTGACTTGTGTAGTACAATGACGTACTGCACATGAACGTCATTGTACTACACAACGTCATTGTACTGCACATGAATGCGCGCCAGCTCATGCCACATTCGTGTACTAATGAGCTGCCATTTCGAGTGAGACAGTGATATGGATTCGTGGAGTTCACAGCATCGTGCCTTTGCTTTTGAAAGTTATTTCAAGAATAACCACTCTGTTATTGCTACCCAGCGTTTATTTCGGCAACATTTCAATTTGGGACGTTATGGGAATGTTCCAGATGAACTGATCATTGCGACAAACAGTTCCAGGTAGAGTAATTTCCCGTTTTGGTGACATTTCCTAGCCGCCTCGCTCACCTGATCTTTCATGTGCAGACTTTTTTCTTTGGGGCTACCTGAAGCAAAATGTTTTCCGAACATGTTGTGCCACCATTTCTGAGTTGAAGGATCGCATCAGAACTGCCGTCCTCAATGTCCCAGGGAATACGTTACGCCGAGTTATGGCAAGTTTCCAACGTCGCCTAGATGAATGTGTTGTGCAGGGGGGCATCATATTCAAAACGTAATCCAGGCAGTGGACAATGGACATTAGTAAATGGCATACCTTTAACTATTAATTGACATTATAGTTATTGCCTTTGGTGTGTTTTTAATATCTTACTATGAACGCTGCCGCATCCTGTATATACTATGGTACGATATTTACTGACATATAATCTTTAAACAATTTTTGCTAGAAAGGAAAATGAGAACTCAGAATAATTATATCTCAACGTTCAGACGCAGTTTAATTTTCAGTATTAATTTAATAGATATATAGATAGACAGAAATATGGAGAACAGCTGATATGCACAAACGGTAAACAGATACCTTGCCCCGTGCTATTTCTAGGCCAAAACACTCATAAACAAGTTACATTTCGATTGTGATTCTTACTGTTGCATTACTATGTTTATGTACTTTTCTGTTCTAAATCTGGGAACAAGATATTACACTTTGGAGACTAAATTTTGATAGTCAGTGGCGTATAATCTTGATTTGTTATATCTTTTTAATTTATGCATAGTTTCCATCAGCAGCAACATTTGCTATTTTTATACTTATCGTTCAATTTACGTTCCAATTTATTATTGATACTACGTAATGTACTAGTATTTGCACGTAATGTACTTGTATTTGTGTAATGCACTTGTATTTGCACTCTTTTTCATTCGGGCTGTTATCACTGGTTCCTACTTATGAATTGCTTGAAGATGCTATGAAAGTTTATATCGACACATAATTCCATAATGTAAAAGTTGTTAGTTATTCGGAGATTTTTTATAGAATGCATTCGGGGTTCGTGGGTATATTTTGTGTATCGTTTCGTTGTTGTAAGTGTTTACGACTATAAGGAATGCGTCGAGATTTGATAAAAAGAACTGTTTGATTATCGACTATGGACGACATAGTTCAGCACTGTAAGACTGAAGATGTGTCATTATTTTAATTATTTTGCACTTAAACTGCTTGAGTTTTAATAGGTATATCTTGAAAGCTAAAATAAGTCGGTTGCTGGAAGCTTGCTGTGACTTGCAGCCGTCAATGGATATTTGAAAATATAATGGTCTTGATGTTTTTTTTTTTTTACTCGCATATGTAGGTTTTGGTCATTTTATGTTTAGGATCCTGATGCTGTTGTTTTAGGCCGCTACTTTTGCAAAGTGGTCTACGCACATCTATAGTTCTATAGATATCAGAGAGGACTTTCACTCAGTAATTTTTAAGTTGAGTTGATGGTTGTTATTGATTAATGGAACGCATAAAATGAAGCCTAAAACAATTCTGAACTACGGTTATGAGCCGTTACCTTTGGTTAATGACGCGCTGTAAAGTTGCAAAGATTTTTGAAAATTCTAATACATTTCATGATATTATATTTTAAAATTCACTAAATTACAACTTCAGATTTTGGCTTAAGGATTTCTGTATATACTATATATATATAGTATATACAAAGCGAGAGATAGAGACGAAATAGTAAGAAATTCAGAAGCAAATCCCCCCAAAAAAAACATTATAAGATATTTCTCGCGCCTTCTTGGCGTGGCTTCGTGGTCTGCACGTTGGGTGCGTATTCTAGAGGTCCACGGTTCGATTCCCGGCGAAGGCGTAGCTGATGTTTCATCTTGCCTGCTTCCATAAATCTTAATGTCTCTACAGTGGCGCCCGAACTAAAAAGGGTGTTGGATGATGATTCTCCTCACCCAGGATTTGGTGATTGTGTCCCCTAAAAACCCCAGACGCTCTTTAAAGGGAAAGCATATAAGATATTTCTCCCGTTTTCTTGGCTTGCCTTCGTGGTGTGGAGGTCTACAAGCTTGTCGCGTATTCCAGAGGTCCGCGGTTTGATTCCCGGCGAAAGGTTTGTTAATTTTTCTTCTTGCCTGCTTCCAAAAATCCTAATGTCTCTACGACATGAAATCCAACACCAGTAAATTTACAAAATATCCAAATTAAAATGCAGAAAAAAAACCCATCAGCTAAATGTTTTCAACTGTTCTTAAGTGTGGACGTTTCTCCAGATTATCAGAAGTTCTATCTGACTACGATGGCAAATTATTCCTAATTTCGGCAATTTATATAGCTGGATTTAAAAGATGATTTTAAATTTGTCGTATTCACTTCCCCCTTTTTTTGAATGAAATTTTCTAGCAAAATCTTTCTTCACGTTTTATAGTTCGAAATAAATGCGATTAAATCATTCTTATATTAGCTCTAACCATCAAAATAGAAGACACATTTCCTTTGCATGTAACAAAATGGAAAACAATTTAGAAAATAAAGACCAACGGAAATATATAATGCATTAAATTGTGCCTAGGGAATGCTTAGGAAATTTTCCATACATATATGACATTTATGCATTACAAGACCTTGCAGACAATTATTTCTATTTAGCTCTACTCTAATTCTAAAGCATAGAAATCAGTATTCAGTTTCTACCATTTGTTTCTGTGCCCTTTCCTTTCAAATACCAAAGTAAGTTTCTTTATCAAGAAAAGTGATCTGATTAAAGATACAGCAATAATTAAAATAACTTCGTAGATCGCTCAGCTTCCGAATACCAGTGGAACTGTTAGTTCCCAGATCTAAGATTTCGTAAATTTAAAACCTAAAACTGGCTTAAAAGGCAAGCTATGTCAAAGGTACCCTTCTGCAGGTATTAACAAAAGTGTGACTGTTGTAAGAAATAGACGGGGTTATACTCCGTATTGAGGGAACACTTTCCACTCAATAGTATCGATTTTGAGTTGAATGGATGTGACCGACGACTCTCATCATTGTTTAGCTCCAGTTTCGAATTCCATGTATATATTTTGCCTTGAAATCGATACTGGCATTTAAAAGGTAAGCTGGTCTGCTTTCTTTCTTTCTTTCCACCGACAGCGAGGCAGCCGGTCCACTGGGTAGTTAGCATATCGGCCAGATAGCCCCGCTGACGGAAATAACTTGAACAAAAGACACACTTATAAATACATATTGTGCTCAAGACGACTGCTGGGGGCAGTGCAAACAAATGCTAGACGAAGACGATAGCGCATGATGGAAGAAGGGTGCGTTGCGGGCGTGAAGAACAATTCCAGTTACATATTTACAGAGTAATGGATAGGTGGTTACAATACTAAAAGTAATAAGAAGTAAAATACTAGAAAGTAAAACAATGCATAAATAAAAAAAAAAAGGCAAAACAGTGGAAACAATACATAAAATAAGGCAAAATACATAGTTCAAGGTTCATAATTCAAGGTTTACAGTTCAAGAAGATAAATATATACAGGGAATAAGAAAAGCCGAATAAGCTAACTTAAGATAAAATTAATTCGCTACAGGTACAGAGCATACAGGGGCTGTGCTGGTGACGAGGATGGTGGCTGAGAATTACTCCAGCCTGTCTGAGATTTTGCGTGCAATGTTTATGCAATCGCATATGCGTTTCAATGCATTGCGATTTTTTGAAGTAGCTTCGGCCCATGCATGGATGTGGTTTGTTACTGGTTGCCTAAGATATTTAGCGGTCTCTCTGCAAGCGAACAGATAGTGGTCCGGATCTCCTACCATCCCGCATGAGCAATGCTCGTTTCCGCGTCGTCTGAAGCGATGCAGGTAAGTCATGAAGGGATCATGTCCTGTTAGATTACTGAGTGAAGTGAGACGAGCCAGATTTTAGAAGCCGGCAGACTTTTGGAAAAAATCTGTAAACTCTTCTGCCGGTTGTTTCTGTCTCCCTCAGATGTTGCCAACGTTTGAGTAATTCTCTCTCGAGCTCAGCTTTTAAGAACGAACCCGGGAGAGGCACGTTAAGTGTGCAAACGTGGGGGTCAGTTGCTGCTCTTTTGGCTATTGCATCTGCAATTTCATTACCCAGTATTCCAGTGTGGGCAGGTACCCACTGGAGTTCAGGCCTATAGTATTTAGGTGTTCTTAGTAAGAGTTTTTGTATGGCCCTGACGAGTGATTTTTACTACATTTTGCCTTGGATTGCCTGGAGGCTAGAGGCTGAGTCTGAATATATACTGGAATAGTTATTTTTCCAGTGCGTAGACAAGTGCAGGCTTTAATGCAATCAGTTCAGCCTGAAAGACTGAGTTGTGGTGCTTAAGCTTTCTTTCCCAGGTCTTTAAGATCTGGTTCCCAAGTAGAACACAGTATCC